ATATATATATATGTACATATAGGTACAGACCACGCACATATATTGTTCATAACCATTCCTCATCTGAGGCTCTGATGCCTCCGCGAAGAGATCGTGGCAAAGGACGACAGCCCGGTTTGGCCAAGGCCTTTGATTCCGAGAGGGATTCGTGCCAGGGAGGGTCTTAGTCGTTATGCTCTGGGTGCGAGCTATATATTAGCTCTTGAGTGATTCGTACCTTAAGACCCTCTAAACTCTGACCCTTGGAGCCAAAGACACACATTCTGCTAGGCACGGACAATTCGAGCGATTATGCCCAGTCCGAGAGCTGGGGGGACTACAACAATGGCTGGGGCAAGGCTGCCTGGGGCAACGATGACTGGGACTACGATGACTGGGGCTACGATCACTGGGGCAGCGATGGCTGGGGCAACAAGAGGTGGCTAGGGTATGTTGTGTGCATGAGAGCTTATAGGACAATCTGTAGGAGCTGCAGACCATGCAATTTAAGGCCACGCCGCAGCGACACGATGCAATCCGTTGCCAGCGACTGGTCGCAGCAGACGGACAGCCAGCCCAACGAGGGGTCGAGCCCGGGAAAGTTCGTACTGAATGGCAACCCGAACGATGTATTCTGGCTTGCATTATATGTATATATAACCAGCATTTCTTGGTTTCAAGCTTGAGCACTATCGATGTGAGCTCTCGGTCTCAGGCTAGAAATTTGTCGCCCGAAGAGAGGGCGAAAATCGAGGTGGCTTGCTTGCAACGGGTCCTGCCTGTGCCGCTTATAAGTTATAGTGTCGTCGCCCCCTAAGGCTTTGACTGGACCCGAAGACATCGATCTGGTCGAACGGAAAAGATTGAACGAAGGGCTGAGGAGGAGGATGAAACACCCCACAGGCCCGCCCTGTAGTGTGTACGATCCCAAGCACTTCCACTATGAAAGCTTGTTGGGAGGACTTCGCAAAGGGCTGGTGGAACAATGGCAAGCAGCTGTTTCGCCGACCGAAAAGCGCCGAAGCAGCAAGGATCCCTACACATATAAGCTAAATACAACCTGAACCCTTCACCTTTAAGCTTCCAGCCCAGGTTCCAGTTCTTGAAAGCATATCTCCTCGACAAGGAGATGAGCTCGATCGAAATCCAACCATATTTCGAGGAGCGACTTATCTCAGAAAGCAAAAGCCTCAAAAACCCGACCCCCACAAAACTCGAGATCCCTAATCCTTAAAAACCCTAAACTCTAAACCTCATGATCACCCCAACCTCTGAAACTTCTGATTGTTGCACATCGATCTGAGGTTGTCGGAGCAAAAGAACACGGAGCACTTCATCGAGCTTCCCCTGAATAAGATCGTCGAACAGTACGGCCACCTCGCTGGGGGCCCCGCCTTCATTGAGTCGATAAAAAAAGGCGAATCCCTGAGATGCTATTATATAAGTTGGTTTGCATGAGTGGGGACTCTCTCTCTCTCTCTCTCTCTCTCTCTCACGCTTTGTCAATCTCTACATATGTGTCGAGCTGAGACCAAGCCGGACGTGCCCATCCGCAGTCGACGGACGAGAACATGCGAATATACAAAATCTTCAAATGCATGGATTTCAAGAGCCTCCAGATTGCAATTATAATTCAGTCTGAATCTCCAATATTTAGCTGCATGCATGACTTGTTAATCCGAGGTGCCCAGATCAGCAGGGTGGGATCGAAGACGAGTGCATCGGTGAAACCATCGACCAACAAGGCCGAGCGACAGGCCTTGGTTGATTCAGTGGAGAACAAAATCGGCTCAATGAAGAGCCCGGCTGGCTTACCCTCAGAAGTCAAGACGAAGGCCAGACCCAAGCCCAAGAAGGAGACTTGTTGTCGCTGCATCCATCTTGTGTGTGTACATGCAGACCTAGATTCTAGATAGATTCCTCTCTTGTCCAGGAGCTGTCAGCCGAGGAAAAGATGAAAAAGGACTTCGACAGAGGCCACCTGCAGCCCCCAGCCTGCACATAATCAGTTATAAGTCAGTAACATATATTAATTGCAGCTGAGGATCCGAAACATGTCGGACAAAGCAGTGCAATTGGCATCCGCCATCACCTCTGCTGGGATTCTGAACCAGGAGGCTCGCCCACAACACCCCCAAAGCCTACACCCTGAACCAAACCCTAAGCCTGAAAGCTTAAGCCTTATAAGAAACAAACCCCAAACCCTAAACTACCAAACCCCCAGTGTTTTGCTGACCGACAGAAAATGGTGGAGAACCTCGGCAAATGCAGCAAGCATTGCACTGCCATCTACTCGGAGTGGCTCGTACCGATTATATAAGATGCTGCTGTTGCAGGGCCGTGTGCAGGTGCACGCTTAGCCTTGCTACGATCCGAGGATCCAAGAGATGATCTTCAGCTGCAAATCCACGTGGGAATGTGCTGAGGCACTCCATGCATACAAGTATGAGCTGGAGGCTGCCGGCTGCTCACCCTATAATCCTAAACCCTGAACCCCGAACTTTAAATCCCAAACCCTACATCGGTCAGGCCGATCAGAAGCTCCTCACGGATGCCGAAGACATTGTGGATTCCAACAGACGACGCACTTTGGCTTCATTCATGTCTGATTTCTAGGTAGCATGCAACATTTCCCGTCTTGGGTTGGCTCCACTCCTTGCAGGCTTGGCTGCTGAGAAGAGGAAGAGAGAGAAGGAAGAGAAGAAAAAAAACGGGGAAGCAGAAGATGAGGATGAAGAGGAGCAATATGATGAGACCGAGGAAAAGGAAGAGGATGAAGGTGCCGACGAGTGGCCCGACGATGAGCCTGAGCCGCCTGCCAAACGCAAGCGGTGAGTGTCGTGGCTTTCGGAACTACGGGGTTCGCAGGGTCGGAGTGTGAATGGTGTATGATACCGGATCAGGACTTGTGCTCATAACTCAGGGACCGATCACTCGATCCTGCCCTTTGCCATGCTTTTTGCAGGGGTGCTAGGCCCGGGCTTGATGTTCGTTGGCTAGGGCTCCAAACTCACTTTTCAAACCACCGCAAAAGCCAAGCCTAGTGCCTAGCTGAGTTTCAGAGTCTGCTGCTGCAAAGCTCGTGACGAGATCCTCTACGCAGTCAGTGGGCACGAAAAACAATCATGAGTTTAAGTGCCTGCCGCTGCACCATGAAGCACGCTTCGCATGAGCCGCAGTGGATCCGATGAACCGTTCCTCAGCTGCTTCAGTGCCGGGGCCTCAACAAAGATTTAACCTGTAAACTCTAAACCTTTAACTTCTTAAGTCGAAAAAAATAAACCCAAAAGCACAAACCCTTTAAGGCCCTAAACCTCGAAACCCAAGACCCTAAAACCTTCATAAGCCTTAAAGCCCAAAACCCAATCGCCTTTGAAGCCCTAAGCCCAACAACTCCGTAGCACCATATAAAACCCAACAACCCTGAACCCCCTATAAAGCCCCACAGCCCCGCACGACGTTTCGAAAGTCCAAAAACCTAAACCCAAAGGCCGAAACCCTTTACGGCCCTAAACCTCGAACCCCTAGACCCTAAAACCTTCATGAAACCCTGAAACCCAAAACCCTGTCGCCTTTGAAGCCCAAAACCCCACAACTCCATAGCACCACATTAAACCCAACAACCCTAAACCGAAGCCGGAGCTGACCCAAGTGTAAAGACTCATGGTTGCTTCGACCGGCCATGTCATCTGCATCCTCGGACCATACTGCAGAGACGCTGCGAAATTACGTTCGAGAGAACACTGAGCAGATTCTGAAGCTTTTGTCTCAGGGTCAGGCCAGGTTCTAGCTGGGGTCAACATGTTGTTGACGGTTATTGAAGTTCGTTTTTTCATTACGGGCTTAACCCAGATCCTTGAAGGTGCCTTTGACGGAGCTAGCTGCGGCTCTGCAAAGACTCTACAAGCTACCTCATGCTTTGGTGCCAGCCGACCTTTTGGATCTGGCGACATCCTTTAGAAATGGTGCAGATAGCAACAGCTGGGGAGTGCTCCGGGTACTGCAACGATGGACCGAGAAGCAACCCTGGCGAAAATGCCTTCCCCTCACTTTCGAGAACCGTAGCCGCATTTATAATCCCACTTGCACGGCTGCATCGTTTGTGTTTGCATTATAATTGTGAAGCTGGCATATAAGGTTCGAGCTCACTGCTCGCTATGCTGATGCACATGGACCTCCGATACCTCGGAAGGTGAAGCATTCGATGTTTCTGCCACACGAACTGTTTGCGACGCTGACCGCAACAGAACACTCCGACCTTCTGTATGGAAGCCTCCAGGAAGCTACTCGGAGCCATTATGTCGGTTCGACGGTACTTGCAATGTTGGCTTATATGCTTGCATTCCAAGGTCCGAGACTACTGGGCCGAGCAGCCCGATCAGAAATGGGTGCAGGAGCATCCGGTCCTGAGTGTCGCACAGCTGCACAT